TGTAATCATCCATCACCCGGTCAATAATACGGTAAGTGGGGATAATGAGGCAATAGATACCCAAAGAGTCCAATATTGGATGATCCATCGAGAGGTTCAAAGGGTTAGGACTCATTGATGAACACACCATTGGTCAAACCGTCAAATTTTTAACTTGAACCTGGACATTTATTGCACCGGCAATTACACATCTGGTAAGAAGAAGAGTTTTCTTTGGTTTCTGCTACTGTTGTTGTAACTTATTACTGATCTTCAATCACAAAACTTTGCACCAACACCAGAATTCAACATTGAGAATTCGTTAAACATGTTCGATTTGCACAATTGAAAAAACATTTCTACAATCAGTGCGATCGGCACAATCTGAACATCCTACACAATTTTCACCATTGGCTCATCGTTGACAATCAGTACTATTTGTACAATTTGCACAATCATGACAATTTACACAGTTTGACCATAAAGACCGATTATATAACCAAAGAATAGGCTTAACATACATTTTGGAGAAAAAAATTCGGACTGTGATTTACTGAAATATACTAAGCGCAATTACACTTATAAAGTATTGTTGTTATGGCATCACTTTTATACACTTCATCATCATCAAATATTTCTCCTTATTTTCTTCCTCTCATCTTATTTTTACCCATTTCTTCTGCATTGTCCGCGAATCTTGAGTCTTGATCAGATTTACTATCGGAATCGTGAAAAAAATCGCGTAAACATGTTACGATCAGAGAAGAGCAAATTATCATTAGGTTTACTTCCCTTTTGGAACAATTTTTTCGGATCAACAGATGAACTTTATTTGAAAGCAAACACATGAGCTGCAATTTGACGAATGTCCAAAATTTTAGCTTCGCTCGGTTTTTAAGCCTGAAATAATTAGACAAAAGAAGAATTTTAATCATTCTTAGGCTTTTTATCAGCGAAAATCAGCAAAAACATAGTCAAAATTCACATTCTTTGCACTTATATTCCACCCTTCGAATAAAATTTTCATTACTGCGTTCTGCAATGCGTACTCATAAAGTATGACCTACAAAGTTTGTCACCAATCTGTTTCCGGACACTGTTCGATGGCGAGACATATTATTTTGATTTTTGACCATCATAATGATTATAACAAATAAATTGTTACTGTTAAACACACATTGTTTTAAATACAAAGCGAGATTTATTTGGTAATGAACTTTATCGGTCATATCTTATGTTATATGTTTTGTTCCAAATTTCGTTGAAATCGGTTGTATGGGCTGGCCGAAATCGTCGAAAGATTAGATTTTTTGTAGAATTATGGTGTTTGCTTCGCTCAGACTAATGATAAATTCACAACTTTCTGAGAATGATTTTCTACTTTCACTCTGGTCTCCTTAAGCGAGAAGTTTCTATTTTTGGAATGTACTTTTTCGCGTTCGTCTTCTTCATTCACAAGAAAACAGAATGCTCATAAAAACTAAGAAAATTTGTCACCTTTGTCAATGCAATTACTAATCTCTCTTACTATTACACTTACCCAGTTATTGTTGTCTAACATTTCATTTTTTCGAAAATCAGAAAATCTCTTCAAATACCTTGTAAATAAGGAGTGGTCCCTAAAAAATTGGACAAACTTTAACTGTGAATAACTCAAAAAGTATTAAATACTTGTCGTTGGAATTAAGATAATACATTCAATCAGGACAGATAATGAGCCTTGTTTTTCAGCATTTAGCAACTTGCACTTAATCTTGACAAAAAGGCCGTTCGAAGAACGCGCCGTCAAAATTTTTTAGTTCATCTCTCAATAGAGCTCAGCAATTTTTTTCCGCTCGAATTTTCAGCCATTTCGACCTGAACCTGGTTTGCTCAAATCTGTTGTACCAATATTGGTTTTTTATATAATGTTATGAACCGTTATTCGAGGAATTCTGAGCTTTAAAAGTAATTGTGAATACTACTTGGTTCATAGTGTGATAGCTAGCACCATAGGGATTTGACAAAACTGAACTATTAAATTGCACTTATCATTCAATCAAACACACTTTTTTCTATTTAATTAAATATTCTGATCAACAAAAATCATATATTTGGAAAGAGCATGAAATGTGCGTTAATTTGAGCTATAGAATCCTTTATTCGAAGAATCTTGTCATATTTAAAATATGATTCAAAATTTGTCCAATTTTTTAGGGACCACTCCTTAGCTTGATGGAAAAGGTCAAAGATCATTATCAACAGACTCTACGACTCGACAGATAAATATCTTGAAAAGGAGGTGAATAAGATTAAAACAATGGAAACAGTTGGTTGTGAGGTAAATAGGAATCGTTTTATTTTGGCAGGATAATTACCATACATAATTAAAATTTAATATTCATATTAACCTTATTTAACAAGTGTTTTAAAAATGAAGATTTGGCTGAAAAAAATCAAAGTAAAATCTAAAAAACTCGGTATCTCGGAAGAGATGGTTGATTTACATTGACGATACAGAGTTGATACAAGTAGAGTAAGATGATTTCAAGACATGTCAAGACACATCAATGCATTGATGAGCATAACATTGGCCGATACGTCAAGCTTTTTAACTTGCTCTTCATGGAGATTTGTTGAACCGGCAGCTTCATGTCTGGAAGATAACAAGAAAAGTTTTCATTTCTCCGGTCGCACCAGAAATTTTTCGCTGCTATTCAAACACGCCTTTGTATCGATATCAGAACTCAACATTGACAATCAGTCAAACTTGTACGATGTGCACAATCTTTACGAGTGTTACATTTTTCACAATCGTTACATCGGGTACAATTATCACAATGTGAACAATTTTTAGAACCTGAACAGTTCGCACAATCATCACAATTTGAACAATTTACACAGTTTGTACAGTTTTTAGAACCAGTACAATTAGCACAATTTTCACAATCTTGACAGTCTGCACAATCTGTACAGTTGACACAATTTTTGCAATTTGTATTACCATAAGAATCAACTGGAGTCATGATTATTCTCAATTTTGGTCAAACTAAATGAATAAAGATGAAAAAGCAAATTTGAATGGATTACACTTGTAATGTCTTGCTGTTATGGAATAAATATTCATCTTTTATACCCTTCATGGGATGCATTATCACCATCAAATATCTTTACTTATTTTCTCCCTCTCATCTTGTTTATTACTTTTGCTCATTTCATCAGCCTTGTCTGTTAATTGTTTGTAATCTTGATCAGATTTAATTTCACAGATTCATGGATTAATATCGAACAAACATGTTATGATTAGAGAAAGCGAATCAACACTCTTACGTTTACTTCCTTTTTCAGGTCAATAGATGAGCATTGGTTTATAAAATACAAATGATCAATTACTTGAATTACTTGATTACTTGAAAGTAGAGGTTCTTAAAGTCTCTGCTCAGAAGAGATAGACATTATATATGCCCTGGACGTTTAACAACGAAAAAAATTAGAGTCGTAGTAAAAAAATTGTTTTTTTTTGTAAACAGTTATCACATTCATAAGATGTGAATGAAAATTACGTGGCATGAGTCGCACAATGTGAAGTCTTGAATTATCTTGAAATTAGAAAAGAATCTTGTGTATTTTGAATGCAATCTGAGTTGGTTAGTGAATCCAAAGACCAGGAATTGCAATCCAATAATTTGAAATGAAGATAAATGATATAAACAGTGAATTGAATTCAATAGGAGTTAAAGTTTTTTACATAATTCAGTGCTTGATAACCGCTAGTTATTGCGACTGATATTTTTGGTTATTGGCACTAGTTATTTGAATGGGTTTGTTAACAAACCCATAGAGAGTTAAATGAAATAATTGAATTCAATTTTTGGTTAAATATCACAAATCTTATCAATGAAGAAGAGATAAAATTTTTTAGTCATAAATTGACCAATTGTGTCTCCAGCTTTTACTTTCATTATGTAAGCTTTTTAAACAACTCTTGCTCGGTGATATGATAGTGTATACACTCGGGCTTCGCCCTCGTGCATCTAACCATCATATCACCTCGCAATCGTTGTTTAAATATACAGTCAACCCTTGAGTTTTTTGTTTTTTTGGAGTAACGCCATCTACTCAAACTAAGAGGGGAAAACCCTTGTATTTAAGGGGTAAAAGAGCTTGTTGACAAGTGAACATAAACAATAGTTTTAATCAAAAATTAAGTTACATTTTTTCCAACAATTCGTTATTGTTTCTTCACTAATCGCTTTGAAACTTTCATCGATCATTTCAATGGCCTGAGCCAAGTCGATTTTTACGTTATTCAAGTAAGTATTTTCATTATTCAAATATTTATCTACTAATAATGATGACAATGTTTTTCTGTATTTTGATTTTATAGCTCGAATTATTCCTGCATCTAATGGCTGGGTAACTGAAGTCGTGTTTGGTGGGAGAAATTTCAAAATAATATTTGTTGCTTCATATTCTGTTGAATGTCCAGAAAAATTATCAAGAAAAAGAATAGCTTTTTGTTGCCTTTCCCGGAATACACCATCCATTTCAATCAACCATTCAGTGAAAATGACTGATGTCATCCATCCTTTTTTATTTGACCGGTAATTGACTTTTTCAATAATATTTTGTTTGTTTTTAAAACATCGAGGTTTTTTACTTTTACCAATAACTAAAGGTTTAAATTTTTCACCAACACTTGATACACAGAAGAATAATGTTACTCTTTCTTTTCTCTCTATCACATTTTTAGTGTTACCATCAGGATGGATGTATGATTGACGTGTTTGGTTATGGTACT